TCATGAGGTTTGTGTGGCAAGCACCTTTACCACCAAAAGAATCATCTTGACATTCAAACATGATAAAGAATTTCTTACTTATAATATGACAAGGACAGCCACATTATTAACTGTTAAAGAAATTTAAGTAGGCAGAAAATTTCAACAAAGTATTCTTTACTTCTTCTTCTTCTTCTTTTTTTTAATAGTTCTGGCTGTTCTGTAACTTGTTGTGTAAACTAGGCTAGCCTCAAATTACAGAGATCTCCTACCTCTCCTTCCTGAGTGCTGAGTTTGTTTTGTTTTGAGATGGGGTCTCTCTATTTTTGTAGCTTTTTGTCATAGATCTCACTGTGAGGCCAGGCTATCTTCAAACCCACAGAGATCTATGTGCCTCTTGCCTTCTGAGCTTACAGACATGTGTTAACATTCCTGGCCTTTTTGTTTGTTTTTATTTATTAGCATTATTTTTAAACTTATATTAAAGATGGTTCCTTGTGGCTGGAGAGGTGGGTGGCTCAGCGGTTAAGAGCACTGCTTGCTCTTCCAAAGGTTCTGAGTTCAATTCTCAGCAACCACATGGTGGCTCACAACCATCTGTAAAGAGATCTGGTGACCTCTTCTGGCCTGCAGGTACACATGCAGATAGAATACTGAAAATACTGTATACATAATAAATAAATGAATCTTTAAAAAAAAAAAAGAAGGTTCCTTATAGGCCAAGTCGACCTTGAATTCAGTATGTGGCTGAGGAGGAGGATTTTTAATTAGAAAAAATTTTATTTGTGTGTGTGTGTGTGTGGAGGTCAGAGGAATACTTGCTGAAGTTGGTTTTCTTCTACCATGTGGTTCCCCAGAATCAAGAGTGGGTTATTAGTCTTGGTGGCAAGCACTTTTCCTGCTGAGCCATCTCTCTGACTCAGCTTTGATCTCTTATGCCTTCTGCCTCCATTTCCCAGGGCTAACTAAGTAAGTTTACAGGTGTATGATACCAGGCTGACTTTGTGGCAGTCTTCCTTTCTCAGTTTCCTGAGTGCTGGAATTATAAACATGTGCCACTGCATGCAGCTTTAAACTGTTTTCTTTCTTTTTTGGCAGAGAGATGAGGGGAGCCTAGGCTGACCTTGGACTTGGCCTAGGATAACCTTGAACTCTTTATTCTGCTTCTTCTGTCTCATTTCTGAAATTAGAGGTGTTTATCACAATACCGAGTTTTGAACTGTTTTTGTTTTCTTTTTTCTTTCTTTCTTTTCTCCCCCCCCCCCCAATACAAGGTTTCTCTATAGCTTTGGAGCCTGTCCTGAAACTAGCTCTTGTAGGCCAGGTTGGCCTTGAACTCACAGAGATCCGCCTGCCTCTGCCACTTGGCTTCTTTTCTTTTCTTTTCTTTTCTTTCTTTTCTTTTTCTTTTTCTTTTCTTTTTTCTTCTCCTTTTTTCTTTTTTTTTTTTTTTGCAGTGGGGGGTAATTCCAGACAGGGTTTCTGTGTGACAGAACTTGCTCTATAGACCAGGCAGGCCTTGAACTCAGATCTGCCTGTCCCTGCCTCTGGAGTGCTTGAATTAAAGGCCTTCGTCACCGCCACCTGGCTTGAACTATTTTCTAAAGACTTCCTCTACTGCCAGAGATCTTTAAATAGTCTCCTAGTCAGTCACCTTGAAGTTGTTATTTTTACTTTGTGAAGAGAGCTGCCTTTTTCTATATTTACATGAATTTTTGCCTCAATATATTTTACAATAATAGGTCCTTTTTGGTGTTTTAGGGTTTTGGTTTGTATGTTTGGTTTTTGTTGTGGTGGTTTGTTTGTTATTCCCTTTCTGCTTTTTTTGTTTGTTTTCTGAGTTTGAGACAGGGTCTCTATATAGCTCTGATTGTTCTGGAGATTGATCTATACTGTGTAGATCTATACATCTGTAGATTAGGGTAGACTCTGGTCCACTATGCCTGGCTATTCCTGTTTTCTGAAAGATTCTTGACCTTTTGATCTCAGTGTTGAGGTTGTTAACTCTTTACATTTGTGTTTGATTATGTGCGTTTTTGGTTGAATTGTCTTGTATAACAGATTTTTTTGCTGGAGCCTTTTCCTCAGTTGCTTTATACAAATCTACTTGTATGTGGTGGTACCTGCTTGTAAACTGCTCTGGGAATGTGGAGGTCTAAGTGTTAGGAGCTACCTAGGAAGTTTGAGACCCTACTGGGCTGTGTGAGATCTTGTTATCTACCAAAAAACAAAATAACAACAACAAAAACCAAGAGTGGTGACTCGTGCTTTAATTCAAGTAATTCAAAAACTGAGACAGGATTCCCTTGGTTTCTAGACTGGCCGGCCTAGGCTACATAGTGAATGAGTTCATGGATAGCTTAGGTTATGATGTGAGACCATGACCAATAAAAAACTAGCTCTTGTAGACCAGGCTGGCCTTGAACTCACAGAGATTCGCCTGCCTCTGCCTCCTGAGTACTGGGATTAAAAGCTTGCGCCACCATTGCCCGGTAAAAAAGTAAGTAAAACCAGCAAAAATAAATAATCAAAGAGAAAGCCTAGTTATATTCGACTAAGCCATCTTTTCAGCCCCTTTATACTTTTTTTTCTCTTTTTTTGGTTTAGGATTTGGTTTTGGCTTTTCAAGATAGGGTCCCTCTGTGTGTAGTCGTGACTGTCCTGTCATTCAGTTTGTAGACCAGGTTGGCTTTAAATTCACAGAGATTCACCCGCTTCTGCCTCCCAAGTGCAGGGATTAGAAGCGTGCACCATCACAGCCAGGTTTATGTACTGATTTTGATTGGCCTAATTTACAAGTACTTTACTCCAGCTGTTCTTGGTTTGTACCTGTTATCTCTTAGAGCCAATATCTGAACCTATAGCTTCCTTTACAGCTTTCATTAATCCTGAATGAAAGGCCTTTTCTCCTTCATTAATAATAATAATAACAACAACAACAATAAATAGTCTGACTTTCTTTGAACCACCAGCTCCCATAAATAATGACATGGAGACTTCTTATTAAGTGTGAAATCTTGACCTTAGCTTAGGCTTGTTCCCAACTAGCTCTTATAAATTAAATTAACCTCTTGGTCCATACTGTCTGTCTGACTTACTCCACATCTTGCTGACAAATCCTGAGAGCCTCAGATCTTCCCAGAGTTTTTATCTCTACCTGGAAGTCCTGCCTAGCCTGTGGCCGTTTAGCTCTTTACTAAACCAATCAGGAGGTGCCCTGGCAAAGACACATCTTCACAGTGTACAAAAAGATTATCCTGGGGCTGGAGAGATGGCTCAGAGGTTGAGAGCAGTGACTGCTCTTCCAAAGGGTCTGGATTCAATTCCCAGCACCCACATGACAGTTCACAACTGCCTGTAACTCCAAGATCTGACACCCTCATATACATGCAAAACACCAATGCACATAAAATAAAAATATCCCACAACAAATAATAATAACAATAATTATCATTGTTTTTGCTATTGCTGTTGTTATTTTGAGATAGGGTCTTACCATTACTATGTAGACCAGAGCAGGCCTAGAACTCTGAGATCTGCCTGCATGCTTGCTTGAGTACTGAGATTAAAGGCATGGGCTCCTGTTTGAGCTAAGTTAAGTGAAACAGAAACAAGCACTTTGTATTAGTCCTTCAGATAGCCCTTCCCTTCCACCTGATAAGGTAGAACAAATTCATAAAATAACTTGCAAATACATTTGTCTCTTTTCTTGGAAAGGAGCTCAGAATTAGTATGCACTGCTTAAAGAGCAAAATTACCTCTTGAAGAAGAGGGAAAGGGAAGATAAAAATTCCATACAATATTCCATACAATGTCCCTACCGCTTTGAAGATACCTTTTTCTTTTACCTTTGTACATTTTATTTATTGAGGGGACATAGGCCTCGTCTCTGTATGTATTTCACACAAGTGACAGCTATAGGACAACTTTTGGGAGTCAGTCCTTTCTTTTCAGCCCATTTGACTCCCAGGCAGTCTGACTTGGTGGCAAGTACCTTTAACCTCTGAGCCATCTATCTCATCAGCCCAATTTTTAGTTGAATTTATTATTATTTCATGTGATGTGGATGTATATATCCCACATGTATGTATAGAAGTCAGAAAGCAACTTTGGGGAGAAAGATTTCTCCTTCTATTGTTGTGTTCATGGTTGGAACTCAGGTGGCTTATGGTGAAAGTACTTTTAGATGTTTCTTTGGAGGAATAAGACATTTAAAACTTTTAGCAAGCCATTTTGATGGCTTGTGAATTGTTTTTTTTGTTTGTTTGGTATTTGGCTTTTCGTTTTCCTTTTTTCTTTGTTTGTTTTTCAAGACAGGGTTTCTCTGTAGCTTTGGAGCTTGTCCTGGAACTAGCTCGTGTAGGCTAGGCTGGCCTCAAATTCACAAAGATCTGCCTGTCTCTGCCTCCCGAGTGCTGGGATTAAAGGTGTGCGCCACCATCGCCCTTTCTTTCTCTCTCTCTTTTCTTTTTTCTTTTTCTTTTTCTTTTCTTTTTTTAAGCAAGCTCTCACTTTATTACTTAACTGGGCTTGAATTTACAGAGATCCAAGTGCCTCTACCTCCAGAGTGCTGGGAATTAAAGACATATGCCACTACCCTTGGCTGAAAAAAATTTTAAAGATTTTTTTTTAATGTATGTGTATGCTTGCGTTTCTGCCTCCTGAGTGCTGGGATAAAAGGTATGCACCATCATGCCCAACGATTATTTTAGTTATAAATTGATTATAAATTTTATCTGTATTTACATTTATTTTGTGTATATGTGTGTGTGAAGAAATTAGAGGCTAGCTTTTGGGAATTGGTTTTCTTCACCATGTAGCTCTAGGGGATTAAACTCAGGTTGTCAGGCGTGGGGGCAAGTGCTGAGCCTTCTCACTGACCCTGTATAAATATTTTAAAGTGGTCTCTGAAAATATCCTTCATGATGTAGTCCCTGATAAACTTAACAAGCAAAGATTAAGTAGTTTAGTTTATATTTTATGTTCTAAAGTACTTACTTGTTGTGATTTATTTTATACAGGTACTACTGTACTAGAGTTTGGTAGGAAAAAGATCGACTTATTGAAGCTTTCTTGATATAGAAAGAGATGTGGGGGGATTCTCGATCTGCTAACAGAACAGGACCTTTTCGGTAAGTCTTAACTTTTAAGTATTTAAATTTTCAAGTATTTATAATGTAACTTGACTTACCATAAAAGAAATATTTTCTTTGTGGAGAAATAAATGAGTTTTTTTTTTCCGAAGTAGAAAACTTCTAGTCATTTCTAAAGTGATTGAGAATATATGCCCAGTATGTGTTTCTCTTTACTTCTCTATGTAAGAACTCAGGGCATCCTATATGTTTGGCAAATGCTTTGGTTCTTGCTAGCTTTTTTTTTTTTTTTTTTTGAGACAGAGTTTTTCATCTTTTTATGTATATGTAGCCACAGCTCTCCTGGAACTCATTATGTAGACCAAGGCTGGCCTCAAACTCGGAGAGATCCTCCTGCTCCTGTCTCTGGAGTACTCTGATTAAAGGTGTGAGGCATCACACCCAGCCAAATATTAAAAATATGCCAGAATCATTTATCTGTTTTGGGTTTTTGAGACAGTGTGTCACTCTGGCTCATGTTGACCTGAACTCAATACATAGCTCAGATGGGCATTGAAGCTGTGGGAATCCTTCTAGCATCCCAGGTGTGAGATTATTTACTTACTTTCAAGATAAGGTTTTACAGTGTGTCCTGGGCTGCCTTTAAACTTCTGGTCTTTCTGTCCCAGCTTACCAAATAGCTGGAATTGCCTTCACGCTTGTTAATTCTTTTATCTATTTTAACAAAGCAATATATATTTTGAGATCTAGCAAAATATGTTGTACTTAAGTTTATGAAAGCTCCATTAAGGGGCTGGAAGGATGGCTCAGCAGTTAAAGAACATTTGTTGCTCTGGCAGAAGGTCCAAGTTTGGTTTCCCAAACCAAAGCGTCAGGGAGCTTACAACCTCCTGTAACTCCAGCTCTCAGGGATGCCACTCCCTATTCTAAACTCCTCAGGGATCTGAACACAGATGACATATACTTACATATATACACATATTTACATATATAAAAGTGAAACCTTGAAAACTATATTAATTTCACCAATTTATGTCTATAGACTCTAGAGCTGCGTCTTGCTATTGAAATTGATATGCTTTTCTAAGCTACACAAATACCAGCTTTAGAGGTTGTTGGGTACAAAGAGTGGAAAAGGTGGTAGCACTTAGTTATAAATGGATTATGCTTTCATTTTATAGGGAATTCTTTTAAAAATGCTTAGTGTAGGGGGCTGGAGAGATGGCTCAGTGGTTAAGAGCATTGCCTGCTCTTCCAAAGGTCCTGAGTTCAATTCCCGGCAACCACATGGTGGCTCACAACCATCTGTAATGAGGTGCCTTCTTCTGGACTGCAGAATATTGTATACATAATAAATAAATAAATATTTAAAAAAATGCTTAGTGTATGTTTTTGTGCATGTATGCCTGTGTAAGTGTGTGTAGAAACCAGAGGAGAGTGACAGAACGTTCAGAGCTGGTGTTACTAGTGTTAATGGGATGCTAGGAATGTGTCTCTTTGAATGATCCATATTGACCTTAAACTAGCAATTTTCTAATCTCAGCCTCTCAAAGTATGTATATATGTATACATGTGTGTGTTATTAAAAGTATAATATATGTATATATACATACACACACATATAATATACTTTTAATATGTATATTATTAGGGACTGGAGAGATGGCTCAGCGGTTAAGAGCACTGACTAGTCTTCCAGAGGATCTAGAGTCAGTTCCCAGTACTCACATGGCAGCTCAAAACTGTCTCTAACTTCAGTTCCAGAGGATCTGACACTTTCACACAGACATAAATACATGCAAAACACCAAATGCACACAAAATATAAATAAATAAGTAAATAATGATTTTATTTCGTGTGCATGAGTGTTTGCTCACATGTATGTATGTGTATGTATGTACCACATGAGTGCCTAGTGCCCACAGAGGTCAGAAGAGAGCATCAGGTCCCTTAAAACTGAAGTTGTAGGCAGTTGGGAGCTGCCATGTGGATGATTGCAACCACTAAGCTATCACTCTAGCACTGGAAGTAACTTATTATCAAAACATAGCCATGCTCATTTATTTACAAATCGTTTGTGGTTGCTTTTATATTGTAATTATAGAGTTGTGATATCTAATGTATACTCTGCAAAGCTACAATATATTTACTACCTAGCTTTTAATGTAAAGTTTGTTCGTGCATAGTGGTACACAACTTTAATCCCAGCTCTCGGGAAGTGTAAATAGATGGATCTCTGTAAGTTTGAGGACAACCTGGTCTACGTAATAAGTTCCAGACTTATCCAAGACTATGTAGAGAGACCCTTTTTCAAAAAACCAAAAATAAATAAATAAATATAAAAGGTTTGCCAAGTTCCAGTCTAAATCAGTGTTTATATGTAACATTTAAAAATATTTAGATTATTGTCTGTCTTCTTAGTCTACTTATGGTGATGATTTTGTATGTCAGACTATTTCTTACAGAATTAAGGTAGTTTAAGTTATCATCCAAAAATTTTAGGGTTGGGGAGATAGCTTAGTGGTTAAGAACATTGACTGCTCTTTGAGAGGACCCAGGTTCAATTCCCAGCACCCACATGGCTGCTCAAAACTGTCTGAAACTCAAGTTCCATGGGATCTGACACCCTCATGCAGACAAAAACATCAATGCACATGAAATAAAAATTTAAAAAAAAAACAGCAAAGAACATTAGATAGATTTGGCTCTGTTGCACAATTTCTCCTTCCCATATTTAAGAACTTTTTTTTTTCTTTTGGTTTTTTGAGACAGGATTTCTCTGTGCTCTGTATATCACTCACTGTTCTGGAATTTACTCTGTAGTCCAGGCTGGTCTCCAGCCCAGAGATCCGTCTGCCTCTAATCCTGATCCTGAGTGCTGGGATTAAAGGTGTGGGCCACCACCACCTGGCTTGTTTTTGTTTTGAGAGTCTTTCTGTGTAAGTCAGACTGGCTTTGAATTCAATCCTTCTGCGTCAGCCTCTACAATGCTGGGGTCACAGGCATCTACCACATATAGCTCTTACATGACGTGTTTTAGGAATGTGTGTGTGTGGCATGTGTGTGTTCAGTCTCACTTGTAGCCATGGTGGGCCTGGAACCCACTATGCAGACTAAGCTGGCCTCTAACTCACAGGGCTCCTGACTCTGTCTCCTGAGTACTTGAGTTTTTGTTTTTGTTTTTGTGTTTTCAAGATAGAATCTCTCTGTCTCTCAGCTGTAGTCCTGGCTGTCCTAGAACTGGATATGTAGACCAGGCTGGCCTCACAGAGATCTTCCTTTCTCTGGCTAAGAGATAAGCCCCTAATTTTTAAGGTATTTGGCCAGAGGGAGATATTTTTGAGAGACTCACAAAAAAAGGTATCTTCTAGGAAAATAACTTTTATTTGCTCTTTGAAATACTTTTCTTCATAAAGTTGTTTTACTATAGCTTAAAATAATTTCTATAACCACTACTGTTCTTTGTTTGGAGATAGGTGCTCACTGTGTAGCCCTTGCTGGTCTGGAACTTGCTATGTAGACTAGACTGCCCTTGAACTCAGAGGTAAAAGGCATGGATCACCAATCTTGGCACTACTGCTGTTTTATTTTAATAAAAGTGTTTCTTGATTAAACTATAAAATATAGATATAAGAACTGTAGTGTGGTAGGTTACTCTTGATCTGCTTGACTTGAGGGTAAGATAATCCTCATGGCAGTATTCAAGGACAATGCTGGATGTGTTCTAGTGAGAAAATGCATACTTTTAGATGCCTCTGCAGTCATTCCACGAGTGTCTGAGGAAGCTTAAGTATTCCAGAAAGCCGTTTAGTAGGACTTGAATGATTTTTAACTATGGGAGACACTGTGGTTAATGATAAAATTCTAATTTTTGTGTTAAATTTTATCCTTACGAAGAATATTTAAACTTGTTTATGATGAGCCACAAAGACATAACTGTTGTTAGTATTATTGAGAACCAATAGAAGTTGTCATGTTCTGAAAAATCCATTAATTGTACATTGTTCTAGTGTTTGTGTTAATGCTTTAAATTTCTATTTACTTTGTGAAAGGGTTTGGTGGGAAGATGTAAGAAAGACATCTGGGAAGATATCTTACTGGGCAAGAGTGCTTGCTGAGAAATCAAGAGAACCTGATTTTAAATCCCTAGTATCTACATTAAAAAACAAACAAGCAAACAAAAAAAACCCAACAGTGTGATGGAGGCAAATACCTTTAATCCCAGCAGAGGAGGCAGAGGCAGATGGATCTCTGTGAGTTCAAGACCAGCCTGATCTACAGAGGGAGTTCCAGGACAGCCAGGACTACACAGAGAAACCCTGTCTCAAAAAACCAAGAAACAATAGCATGTGTTTGTAACCCAGTGTCAAGAGGGTGGAGACGAAATGGTCTATAAACTCAGTCCAGCTAGCCCAACTGAAACAGTGAGCTTCAGATTTAGTGAGAAACCAGGTCTCAAAAAATAAGGTAGAGTGCCATAGAAGATGCTTAGTGTCCTCCTCTGGCCTCTACATACATGCACCCCTCCCATGTGTGTTTATGTGTGTGTGTGAGATGTATGTGGATATGTTTGTATGTATTAAAAAAAACACATAAATGATAAATTAAAAATAAGGTACAAAAGAAGTGCTGATGGTATTGTAACAGTTCTCTTGAACTGAGTGATCTAGAGTCAGTTGTCTGAGTTTTAGTGTGTTGGTGTAGTTTGGTCTCAGAAGGGTCATATGATAGAATCTCTGTGTTTGGGAAGGAGAGACTTGAGTTGGTCGTGATAAAATCTCCATGCTTTGGTTGTACTGCCAAGTAGTAGATAGCCCTTCAGTCACCCCACACACCTTTTTTTCCACATGCCTCTCTGGGATTCCCAGGTGCCTAATTGCCTATTTAAGTTCCTTAATCTTTTTGTATATTGAAACAGGGTCTCATTCTGTAACTGAAGCTGACCTTAAATTCAGAATTATCCTCTTCAACATTCCAAGTAATAAAATTAACACCATGTGTTACTGTCCCTTAATCTTTGACCAAAGCCAAAAATGTGTAAAATGGTCTAGTGATTAGCTAAAGGGAGAAGTTTGGTAGTGACTGGGCAACTCTTGTGTATTTATTGAGTTATGTGAATTGAGTGTATGTTTTGCCTGAATGTATATATGTCATATGTGTGCCTGCTTCCCGAAGAGTCCAGAAGAGGGTGTCAGATCCCCTGGAACTGGATTATACAGGTTGTGAGCTGTTATGTGGGCGTTGGGAACCAAACCTAGGACCTCTGGAAGAACAAGTGCTCTTAACCACTGAACCATCTGTTCTGTCCCAGCTATATATACTTTTGTTGTTGTTTGCTTTTCTAACTTAGTATTTTTAAAATAATGTTTCATTGCAATAAAAAGGTAGCTTGAGCCAGGTTATGGTGGCCCACACCTTTAATTCCAGAACTCAGGAGGCAGAGGCAGGCCAATCTCTGTGAGTATGAGGGCAGCCTGATCTACAAATCAAGTTCCAGGACAGTCAGAGCTGTTACACAGAGAAACCCTGTCTTGAAATTAGCTTGAGGCTTTAGAATTTGGTGTGTCAGCTTCTTTACTTGGGACATGGAGATTATGCTTAAAGATCTTACTAGGTTCTAGGTCACTTTCAGCTTTAAACTTTTTGGGTAATTTAGCTTGGCAGAGATGACTTAACATGCTTTGTGGTTGATTGATAATGCCTTCAATACTCTTGGATAGTTATAATTGTACCCAGCTGAGGGTTCTTCAGGTAGAGCCACAGTAGACCTGGGGTTTAGTACTACTACTGGTCATGAAGAACTACAACTAATCTTCCTTTTTTACCTCTACTCATTGAATTGAATAAAATCCTTGATGTAATAAAACAAAATATTTTTGGAATTTTTTACCATTGGGTTCAGCAATGAGAAAGACACATTCTGAAACTTACAAGAAATTTTACACTATGAGGCTGAGCTTGGCTGTTTATTATTATAATTCCGTTACTCAGGAAGTGAAGAATTGCTTCAAATTCAAGACCAGCCTCGTCTATGTAGTGATTTCTAGGCCAGCTAGGCTACATAGCCAAATCCTATCTCAAAAGCAAAAGAATAAACAAAACAACCAAACAAATAGAGAATTGCATTGATTTCCCTGACTTCACATGTATAGTAATTGTCATGATGACCTTGGAATTTTAAGTTCCTTGGTTGTAGAAAATGGGAATTTTTGTAGTGTGTTCCTTTGTTAGCTTATCTGGTATTGCGGATTTTCCCTGTTGCAGGACTGGGTGAGAGCTTTTTCTGCAGCAGTCATGTTGAAAACCTTGTGTTGACTTACCTCGTGTTCTGAAATGGGAGCATAAAAGTTTACTCGGACACCTCGTCTTAAAATAGCAAAACTTGCTGTTTTCTGCAGATCTAGGACCTTGTTACAGAACTCTGCCCCCCCAAAATGTGTTTACAGAAGAATGTGCTGTGATTAGAGAAGAATATGCTGGTGTGTAGATTTCAAACTCTCTGGACAATATGAATAACCCTGTCTTTGTTTCTACAGTGGGAGCCAAGAAGAAAGGTTTGCTCCCGGGTGGAACAGGGATTATCCTCCTCCTCCCCTTAAGAGTCATGCTCAAGAGAGACACTCTGGCAACTTTCCTGGCAGAGATTCACTTCCCTTTGATTTCCAGGGGCATTCAGGACCTCCCTTTGCAAATGTAGAGGAGCATTCTTTCAGCTATGGAGCTAGAGATGGACCACATGGTGACTATCAAGGAGGGGAGGGACCTGGACATGATTTCAGAGGAGGAGATTTTTCATCCTCGGATTTCCAGAGCAGAGATTCAGCGCAGTTGGACTTCAGGAATAGGGATATACATTCTGGGGATTTTCGGGATAGAGAAGGAACACCTATGGACTACAGAGGTGGAGATGGTACTCCTATGGATTATAGGGGCAGGGAGACACCTCATATGAATTACAGAGACAGAGATTCTCACCCTGTTGACTTCAGAAGTAGAGATGTTCCTCCATCTGACTTTAGGGGGCGGGGTACATATGATTTAGATTTTAGAAGCCGAGATGGGCCCCATGCAGACTTTAGGGGAAGAGATTTATCAGATTTGGATTTTAGATCCAGAGATCAGTCTCGTTCTGATTTTAGGAACAGAGATGTATCTGATTTGGACTTCAGGGATAAAGATGGAACACAGGTAGACTTTAGAGGCAGAGGTTCAGCTACTACTGATCTAGACTTTAGAAATAGGGATACACCACATTCGGATTTTAGAGGTAGACACCGTTCTAGGACTTACCAAGATTTTAGGGGCAGAGAGGTAGGACCTTGTATGGAATTTAAAGATAGGGAGATGCCTCCTGTGGATCCAAAAATTTTGGATTACATTCAGCCTTCTACACAAGAGAGAGAACATTCTGGTATGAATGTGAACAAGAGAGAAGAATCCACACATGACCATACAGTAGAAAGGCCTGCTTTTGGTGTTCAGAAGGGAGAGTTTGAGCATTCAGAAACAAGAGAAGGAAAAACACAAAGTGGAACCTTTGAACATGAATCTCCATCAGACTTTCAGAACAGCCAAAGTCCGGTTCAAAACCAAGACAAGCCAAAGCTTTCTGGAAGTGATCAGCAGAGTTCAGATACTGGTCTGCTTAAAGAAGAAGGTGATTTGGACTTTCTTGGCCGACAAGACACTGATTACAGAAGCATTGAATACTGTGATGTGGATCACAGGTTGCCAGGAAGCCAGATATTTGGCTATGGCCAGAACAAGTCTTTTCCACAGGGCAAAATGTCCCGAGATGCCCAACAGGAGCTTCAGGTATGTTGATGAGGTGGTTCATTATACTTTTCTCAAGGGTGAAGTGTAGAATGCAAAATGTTCAGTCCCTCAAGTCTTATACAACTATTCAGAAGCAAACTTTGTATTTGAGAATGGAATAATGGAGTTTAAATATCCAGAGAAAAGCCCTTGACTCAGAGCATGTTTTGATGTGTGTTTTAGTCGTTTTGTTTTATTGTGCTTATTTAAATGACCTGTGATAAATTGATTTTAAACTACCAGTCTTGGGGAGTGGGTCTCACAGCTTTTGTAGTCCTTGTGATTTAGGATTTATTTTCTTAATTAAGTTCACTTACAGAATGCTTAGAAATGTTTTTGCAGTCATGAGGATATGATGTTAATGTTGCAAGTTTCCTCTTATAGCTAGCTTAATTAGCTTACATGTTAAGTTTCTTAAATCTAAGTGAGGAAAGTTATACTTGCAATTTAATTATGAAAATTATCTTAAAATAGATTTTACCCGTATCTACTGCAGTTTCTTTTATTTTGTGATCTCTTTGTGTGTGTGTGTTTCTTTTCTTTTCTTTTCTCTCTCTCTCTCTCTCTCTTTTTTTTTTTTTTAAGACTGGTTTTCTCTGTGTTGCTCCAGCTGTCCTGGAACTCACTGTGCATACCAGGCTAGCCTTGATCTCAGAGATCCACCTGCCTCTGCCTCCTAAGTGCTAGGATTAAAGGCATGCCTTACCTGTTGCTTGGTGATCTTAAAACTTAGTAACTAAATAGTAGGTTTTGAGAATTTTATAACATCCATTTTTATTATATTAAGACTCCCTCAGTAAGCCTTGTTCTTAGCATACTTATAATTCAGTAATGCTAGGAAAAAAATGAGAGAAAATTATAAGTTCTCATTTCTTGACTGTATTTCATGTTGGTTTTTATTTTATTTTACATGTAAAAATAAACGTATTTATGAAATAACTTTACATTCTGAATTCAAGGATCAAGATTATAGGACTGGCTCAAGTGAGGAGAAACCTAACAGACTTATTCGATTAAGTGGGGTGCCAGAAAATGCCACAAAGGAAGAGGTAAGGCACATGTTCTGTCTCTGTCAATTAAAAAAAGAACCAGGTGTGGTGACACATGCCTATAACTCTAGCACTTGGGAGATAATATGCAGAAAAATTGCCAGTTGAGGCCTACCTGGACTAATTGTGAGAATTTGTCTCAAAATTAAAAAAAAATTTACTTTCAAAAATTACAGGTTAACAGGAGCATGTAAAGAAATGTACAGAATCAAGTGTTGTGATAGATGTCTGTAATCAGTACTCAGGAGGCTGAAACAGAAGATGAAAAATTTGAACCCTAAGAATGGATAGTGGGGCAAGGTAGATATAAGTACAATGATACTTATGTATGAAAACACTACAATGAAACCTATTGTTTGGTCTGCTAACTAAAACAATTCGGCGCCAGTGTTGGGCTTGGTAACAGAAGCCAGAACTGAGCCTGGTAGTATAGGCCTATAATCTTAGCCATTCAGGAGATTGAGTCAAGATTGTAAGTTCAAGGCTTATCTGGGCTGCAGAATGAGATCAGGACAGCCCGGGTCATTTAGTGAGACCCTGTCTCAAAATAAAAGTTTAACTGGGCAGTGGTGGCACACGCCTTAGGAAGCAGAGGCAGGCGGATCTCTGTGAGTTTGAGGCTACAAAGCAAGTCTACAAAGTGAGTTCCAGGACAGCAAGACCTGTTATACAGAGAAACCCTGTCTTGAACCCCCTTCCCAAAAAAGTATAAAGAACTGTAGATACAGTGTTTACTTTGTTCAATTCCCAGTACCTCCCACCCACAAAAAGAGACCAGCCTGGGCCAGCTACATAGCCACTTTATTTTGATACTAAATAACCAGAGAAGGCTTAATTAGTTTTCAACCTACCTTTTTCAGAGTTAACATCTAGAATACCTATAGTACAATATCTAAGCCAGAAAGTAGTTTTGGAATAACCTGTAGAGTTTATTTGATGTTACTGCCATGATGCTGTAAAATGACACATGGCAGGTATCTTCAGACTTGGTAATCATTCTTGAAACTATGTTATATCAGAAGTACATACACAAAGATGCAGTTGATTTACAGTAGTAAAGACTGGGTGCCAGGTCGGGTGTATTGCCATATATCTTTACTCCTACTACTCAGAACTGGGTGGATCTCCAGGTTAGCCTGATCTACATAGTGAGTTCCAGTACAGCTACATAGACTCTGTTTCAAAAACAAACAGAACTGCGAGTGCCAAATTGCTCTGTTTCAATGGAATTTCTGGCCAAATTATGATACAGAATTTAGGGAAGAATTATTTAGGTTATTATTAAAAGTAAAACTATGTCTTTGTGAAACGGCTAACAAGCATTAGTTCACTGAATTATTACACTGTCCTATGAGTAAGTACTTTTAATCCATTAACTCCACTGATGGTTGAAAAACTCTTATTAGAAGTTCTTGGGGCCAGATATATTTCAAGTTTTATGGTTTTTAGATTTTGGAATATTTATGTAAAATTTGCTAGCTTGACATTCCTAATCTGAAATCTAAAGTGCTTACAAAGTTCATATTTTGAAGTATTTTGGATTTCAGAGATTTGGGGGTTTTGTTTTGCTTTTTTTTTTTCTTGGTACACAATTTCAATCTCACTGTGTAGCTTTGGCTGGCTTGCGTTTCAGTGTGCTTGTAGATTTGTGCTTCGTCCTGGATCCAGCATTTATTTTTTGAGACAGGGTTTCAATGTGTAGCTGTTCTAAAACTCTGTCTGTAGACCAGGCTGGGCTCGAACTCACAGAGATGCACCTGCCTCTGCCTCCCAAGTGCTGGGATTAAAGGCGTGTGCCACCACTGTCTGGCATGGATCCAGACTTTTTGTTAAGGATATTCTTCTTGTATCCTACACCAGGCACTGTGTTAGGCTCTGAATAATAGACCAGTGAGTATTAGAACGTTGCTACCTTCACGAAAAATACAAAAACAAGCAAATATAGACAGTAGAGGCTGAAAAGATGATTCACTGGTTTAAAGCGCTTGCTGCTCTCTTAGAGGTCTCAAGTTGAACATGTTGGGCATCTTACAGCTGACCATAATTCTAGCTCCAGGGAATCTAACACCCCCTTACTAGCCTCTGAGGGCATCTGCTCTCATCTACACATAGACACAGACAAACGTGCACATACCTATACATAGACACTGACACACATACAATATAATTATAATTTTAAAAAGATTGAATGATAAACCAGGAGGGGTGGCGCACGCCTTTAATCCGAGTACTTGGGAGACAGAGGCAGGTGGATCTCTGAGTTCGAGGCCAGCCTAGTCTACGAAGCAAGTTCCAGGACAGATAGAGCAACCCTGTCACGAAAAAAGTCAGAGAGAGAGAGAGAGAGAGATAGTTTTAAGAAGTGGTAAATTTTCGGGGAGGGGGGTGGAAAATAAAGTTTTAAAAGCTCTTGGGAAGTAGAGACAGCAGAGTCTGGGCTCCTTGAGATCCTGTGTCAGATATCAACAAAAAATTTAGAGTGTCATCAGATTGGGCTGTTTTCTTCTCTTTTGAAAAATTACATTTATTTTTTATTTATTTCTTTGTGTGTGTGCATGTATGTAGCGACAAGTGTTTGCATACCATGACATGCTTGGAAGTCAGAGAACAATTTGCAGAATTGTTTTATTTTTATCTTTCTTTTGTGTTTTTGTTTGTTTATGAAGGAGACTCTCGCATGGTGGGGATTGGAGCTTCCTTCTAGACCCTGGATTAGGCACAAACCATACTGTTTTCACAGAAAGGTTCTTTTTTAAGCAGGGAAGAAAAGTTAAAGTGGCTGCTTTCTGACTCAGACAGAAAAACAACAATAAATGACCTTGCAGGTGTAATTTTTAAGAGGGGAAAAGGGGGAGGTCTTTGTTAGACTGGATTAATTTGCTGTGGTAAAGGAAATAGAGGAAGATGGAGAAGGGGAAGGGTACAGGGAAAGGGGATGTATTCGTCCCAGAGGGACAAAGTATTGCCTCTGGATAGGGAGGAGACAGATGTGGCACATAGGCAAAAGGCAGTTTATAAAGGTAAAGAAAGGATGAAACCGCATGTTAGGATGAGGTGGTTAATTTTAATTGGACATGCTTTTTAGGTGAATTAAAGGGAGATTTTGTTAGCAGACTTTGGTAGTCAACCTCAGAAGGAAGAAGAGGTCAAATAAGGGAGTAGACCTTGGTGACTAACTTTAGGAATGTAACCTAATGTTTTTTTAGCAAGGCAGAGGAAAAGAGGAAGAATGTCAAGACCCGCCTAAGCACATGCTTGAGTGGGCTAGTGTCCCGTCATTTGTTCCTTCAAATGTCCCTATCAGCTGAGCTATCTTGTCTGATTGAGAATTGGGCCATTTTAGATTGAATTCAAACCTGAACAGAACAAATAACTAGATTAAGTTCAAGTGCTAAGGCCCTGGACTGGACTAGATTATACTCAGTGCATTATTTTTAACATGAGACACTAAGCATTAAAGGTTTACACACAGCAATTAAAGAGAGATTTGGAATATATATAGATTTCAAAACCTGCAGCCTTGCTCTTTTGCCTTTTCGAAGAGTTCTGGGTGTGAATCCAAGGCCTTGAATATGCTAGGCAAGCTCTCTACTACCGAGCCACATTCCTCCTTCTCCTCCTCCTCCTCCTCCTTCTTCGTTTTTGGAGACATGGTTTCTCTGTGTAACAGTCCTGGCTGTCCTAGAACTTAACTTTGAGGACCAAGCTGGCCTGGAACTCAACAGAGATCCTGTCTCTGCCTCTCAAGTGTTGGAATTAAAGGCATGTCCCACCACGCCTGGCTCCTGAGCCACATTATTAACCCAGCTTTCCTACCTATGTATGTTGTATTCAGTTTGTTTATTTTTCTCTTTGGTATGCTCCCTCTACCACTTCACATTGAGTTTAGCAACCTTGAGCCTCTGGCTAGCTGGGATCATAGGTCTGTGTCGTCATGCCCAACTTCATTTATCACCCTTTGAACGTATAGAGTGAGTATGGTTCTTCAGGCGTTCTGTGTTTTGTGAGTTGGTCAAAGAAAGAGGTCACTCCAAAATGTAATTTTAGGCAATCCGTGACAGCAGAGAGGTCCAACTTCTGATGGACTGAACCTTGAACAGCCATACAAAGGCATATTTATCAGTTGTTACACAAAGTTGTTTTTTTGCTAATTTAATTCCTTATACCAAAGTCCCTGATCTAATCTATGTTTTTTTGAAGGAAAGCACCTCACCCTGACATTTTAGTCTTTATTGTGCACTGTTTTCAGTACCCAGTAAAAAATAATTCTATAAGTCGCAGAAAACTATCACTATTTTCCACAATGACTTCTTCAAGGTCAGAGTACTTTTAGAAAATAACTGTTTAGTCTAATGCTTACCCTATATACAGTGAAAACACTATTCATTCTAATGTTTACCATAGATATAGTCACTCTGCTAAATTCTTACAACATGGTTTAATTTGTCTTTATAAAATAGTCCTTGCTTTAAATTGTATAGAGTGAAAACCAGTAGTGAAATATAAACATTAGCATTTAACTATGATTTGTATCATTAGTGTAAATATCATATTTTTGCAGATTCTTAATGCCTTTAGGACTTGTGATGGCATACCTGTGAAGGAGTTGCAGTTGAAGGAGTATAATACAGGTGAGTTCTTTTAATGTGCATGTAATCTTGGGTTAGGAAGACTCTTGGACAAATGTCTCTGCATTATGTGCTACTCAAAAATTTGTTTTTAAGAAATCACAAATAAGATTTCTAGAAGTTTCCTGTTGGTGCCTTCAAATAACAAGCAGCTTTAGTCTTAACCGTGGTTCTTTGTATGACTGTTTATCCCCACATGGGCAATGAGGATGCATGCTCCAGTTCTTCTGAGTGCCTGTGAGATATAAAGTGAGTGCTGTGGCATCTATCCTTGACTGTTTTATATGATTAAATTATTAAACTTGTTATTTATGTTTTTCATGATGGTGGGATGCTTACATTTGAGCCTAGTGAGATTTAGTAAGCTTGCTGTGTATAAAGTTTTATATTTCATCGTTTCAAAGTGAAATTTAACAGCTCACGAGAGAAATTGTTCAAACTTGTAGTTTCTCCAATTTTGTGTTGCTCTGAGAAGAGTCCTGCCACAACTCAGGCTTCGAAATCCATGAATAGATCTAGATGAACTTTCTCTTTAACCTCTGTTTGCAGTCTGAAATGCTGTGTATGCTTCTAGTATTTTGATTGCCACCTTTGGTCACCTCCTTTAAACCTTACTATAAGCAAGTGAAATACCGCACACTCAAAAGTTTTGCCGAATATTTTTGGGACTCCATAATATGAAATTGGTTGGGCAGTAGTGGTGTACACCCTTGATCCCAGAACTCAGAGGCAGAGACATCTGTATTCCGAGTTTGAAGCCAGCCTGGTCAATAGAGAGAGTTTCAGAACAGTCAAAACTACACAGAGAAACCCTGTCCCAAAAAAAACAAAAATCAATGAATAAGTAAATAAAAATAAAGGCAATCTTTTTTTTCTAGAATTTGAATTGAAGAAAATAGAGCATTTACATTTGATAGAATATAGAGATTCACAGTAATATATTTAAAGACATCTTCAAGTTATAGTGTGCCATATTTTGGAGGGTATAGTTTATTTTTATTATTTGCTTAATCTGTTATTATTAATTTTTTTCTAGTCCTGGGGATTGAACACAGGCTTTTGTGTGTGGGCTGGGCAAGCATTTTGTCCTTGAGCTACTAACCTGACCTTATAGTTAACTTTTAAATAATTTACGAGGAAATGAAATTTTGGGGAGCGGGAGGTTTGAGACAGGATTTCTCTGTGTAGCCCTGGCCATCCTGGAATTTGCTCTGTAGATCAGACTAACTAACATCAAACTCAGAGATTCACCTGCCTCTGCCTCCCTAGTGCTGGGATTAAAGGTGTCACCATCACTGCCCGGTTTGGAATGGAATTTTAATATCTGATGAGATAGCTTTTTTTTTCTCATGGGCTCTGCAGTTAAAAGCACAAAAAATAAATTATTGTGCTTAAAATAATGTGGTTTTAAGTCTACAAGTGTATTTTTCCTGTAATTAGAGAGGAAACTCAGAAGTATTATTTCTCAGAAAACAATTATTTGTAAACATGACTAAGAGTAAGTATGTAATTCTTGTGTGCCTTAATTTTGTAGGTGTTTGTTGCATGTGTTTGATATATTCTCTGAGAACTAAAGATAGAATTTATAGGGTAGATTTGCTTTTTAATTTACAGGGTGATAACCTCAGTTTCAGTTTTGTGTCATGAACTGCTTCCATTAAGTATTGATATCGTTAGTAAAGCAGCCGTTTAAACTCTTTAGTTTCTCTAGTACTCAATGATTTTCATTTCAATAGTCAGGTTTGCAAGCAAGGTAAAATTACATAAGTGTGTAGGATTCAAAGTGGAAGTTTTTAAGTTTGCTAGCTGTAATGGTTACTAGAATCATAATTGACAGACTTAAGGTATTGATGTACATACAAAATTGTTTAGGATGTTAAAAACAATGACCTTTTGTTATATGACATGATTGTGTATTCAATATGTAGCTTCTTTTTTTTTCTTTTTCTTTTCTTTTTTTTTTTTTTAATGAATGAGTTACTAGTTCCATGATACCGGTTTTATACCTGTAGGTGACAGGTAGAATGAACTTTAAATGATACCAATCAGATCGTGGTATCCTTATGCCTAAAACTTTTGTATAGCTGTCTACCTCATACAGAAGAAATCCCCAGTTTCTTTTTCTAACTTACAAAACAGACTGTAAGCTGGTCTATGACTGTGTGGCCTCTTTCTGTATCAGTTTTTAACTTCCTGTTATCTGTAGCCAAACCGAGCTTGTCTTCAGTCTTTGACTAGTAACTGCTCACTTCTTTGTCAGATCCGTTTAACTGCTTTCTTCCTTTTGATCTCCACTTATTTTCTAGGATTTATTTCTTGGCTTCCCTTTTAACTTCATTTTGAAGCTTTACCTACTGTCACTCCCATAGTTGCCTTGTTTTTAAGTTTTTATTATATAGAGAGAGTATATTACTATGAACACATTTGTGTGTTTTTTCGTTTGATTGATTGTTTGAGATGGTTTCTGTGTAGCTCTGGCTGTCAGTGTTTCTGTGTAGTTCTGTCTGTCCTGGAACTCGCTCTGTAGACCAGGCTGGCCTCGAACTCAGAGATTCACCTGTCTCTGTCTCCAGAGTGCTGGGATTAAAGGCATGCGCCACCACCACCTGGCGCTAAACACCTCTTAATCTTTGCTTCTCACATTTGTTGCTTGGAGGATTACCTTTATTGTTTTAACTTCAGGGAGCTCATCAAACCATAGACTTCAGTTAGAGGAAACAGGATTAAAAAAGAATTAATGTCTAAAGAGATGCTGACGTTATTGTTATTTACAGAGATCAGAAATATTTATTTGTTCTATCTCTAAGTTTTAAAGGGGTAAAATAAAAGATGTCAGTACTTTTCATGGGTGTCATAGAAAATTATTAGGAAAGAAGTAGAGAAAAATGTATCTAGCCTGAGTGCTGGGTTATCAGGATATATCACCCCCCCCCTTTTTCTGAGACTTGATCTCATTATGTAGCTCTGGCCGTCCTGGAATTTGTTATGTAACCGACCTGTCTCTGTCCCCAAGTCCTGGAATTAAAAGCCTGCACCATCACTCCCTTTTTAAAAAATAAATTATTTTTACTTTATGTGTATGAATGGTTTTCATGTGTGTATATAAGTGCACCCTATGTGTGCAGTGCCTACAGAGAGACCAAAAGAAGGTATTGCAATCCCGGGAACTGAAATTACACAGTTGTGATCCACCATGTGAGTGCTGGGAAATGAACCCAAGTCCTCTATAAGAATAGTGGGTTTTCTTAACTCCTGAGCTATCTGGTTTTTATTTTTTTTCTTAAAGTTCAGGCTTGACTAGAATTTGTTATATAGTTTTTCTGCTTCTGAAGTGCTGGAATCAGGTATCTGTCACCATGACTTATTTAAGAAGGTACAGTTTTGTTTTATAGACTGACCTCAAACTCTTGAACTCCAGTGATCCCTTTTGTCTCATCATCATTGTTGGCTAGGACCATAAACAAGTACCACCATACCCAGTCGCTGTGGGAGATAGTTTTTAAATAGTAGTATTTGCAGTCTTAAAATATATTTGAGTTTTTACCTGATATAGTGGCATACACTTTTGATCTCAGTATTCAGTAGCAAAGGCTGGAGGATCTCTGTGAATTAGAGGCCAGCCTGGTCTACATGATGAGTTTTAGAACAGCAATTCAGAGCCCCTGTCTTTTAGACTAATACGAAACCCTAGAAAACACTTTTTTTTTAATTTCAGTTTTATTATTAATGTGTGTGTGTGTACATACTTCTGCCATTGCACATATTTGGAGGTCAGAGAACAATTTTGTGGAGTCTCCTTCTACTGTGAGTACTGGGGATCAAGCTTAGGTCATCAGGATTGTGTGGCAAATTGCTGAGCCATCTCTCCAGCCCCATATTACTTTTATTAAAAAGGAAAGGAAAAAAAGTTTGACAAATGTGGTAAAAAGAAGTTTTTGAGGAAATTTTAATGGAAGTTATTTTGAGATTGATTCTTGCCTTGTGTGACTGTGAATACTTTAAATCCTATCACCCAGGAGTCAGAGGCAGGCAGCACTCTCTGACTTTGAGACCAGCCAGGGCTATATAGTGAGACCCTGTCTCAAAAACAATCAAAGACAGTGTTGAGGGTCATTTTGTGCTAGGACCAAGACAATGGAAAAGCTGTTTGTAGATTATGTATTTTTTTTTCCTAGTCAGAATTAGGTGATTTTTGTAACCTATATAGGAAGCAGATGCATTTTCATATGCACTAGAACTCAATGAGGGAATTCATACTATCTTGAACTCTTAAAATACTAATGCTAGGGCATATTTGAGAATCAGTGTCATAGAGGCAACTCTGTGTTCCTTAGTTCCTGATTGTGCTTTGTATAGGAACATAGAAATACTGATAGATGTTATTGCATCCCAGAAACCACTCTATAGGAATTGTCACAGGTAGGTATGGTGGTTCACATCTATATCTATAATCCCAGAATTTGAGAAACTGAGGCAGGAAGATTCCTGCAAGTTGAGGTCAGCCTGGGCTACATAGCAAAATTCTATCTGGAAGAAAAACTAAAGAAGCAAAAAAAAAAAAAAGTAGTTAATCATTTTTACTCTACATATTAGATAACAAAGTCCAGAGACATGTGACTTGACTGTGATCTCATGTGAGTTAATTGTAGTTTTATATCTATGTTCAGAACTATAACTTACTTTTATGTTGCTTAAGTTATGATGCTCATTCTGGTTGATGTGGCATTGAATGAACCAAATGCTGTGCTGTTATTTGTTTGGGGACACAGCAATGAAAAGAAGACTTTAGTCTCTGTCTGGGACCTCAGTTGTTTGGTCAGTTTGCTACAGGTGATCTTCTCTCTTGATCCTTCTATTACTATGTTGTTTCTCCTGGGATGAAGGGTGTTCTTGCCTTGAGAAAAACAGGTTTACGAAGGTTCCCCCCCTTTTTATTTTCTGATTGGTTGTTTTGTGCACAGTGGGTGGGTGAGTAATGGTGGAGAAGAAGTGAGAATATGATT